TGCTAATGAATTGTCGTGATGTGTCATGATTCTGTAAAAGGGTGCTGCTGACTTTGTTTAAAAGCTTTGCCTTCATCATCTTTGAAGGTGTGGGTGCAGCTTCACCTGACGTGGCGTCGAACTACAAGGAGCCGGTGACCGGTGTTGTCCACCCCTTTGGCCAGCTTGTGGACTCTGCAGAGATAGTCAGCAACTCTAAGTGCAATGAGTACGTGGCATACGACGCAGGTCAAATTGAGCAGCCATACCTCGCAAGAATCAACCTATAATTCACTTCCTAGCGATTGCGATGAACGTGACCAAGATTTTATTTCTCAGCGTTAACATAGTAAATGCCACTAACAATAAATTTGCCACAGTCATTCAATGTTGTCTTCGCAATTTTTGATATCGAATTCCACCTTGTTCAAGGATCTTTTACGAGCAAATCGTTACCTGTGTAGGCATTCCGGTCCCGATTATTCCCCTGGATCTGTACAATGACAGAACTGTAGTTCCCTACAATTGCGTTGATGTAATGACAAGTGCACTTGTCTAGTTTACTGGGTAGTGGAAGAAGCTCGTCTGCTTTCTATCTGTTGGAACTGGTGGGGGCTTGTGTAGTGCATCCGAGTGCCCCTTCAGTTTGAGCCACTCGTTACTGTGCTTGGCACTGCTCCCACATCTTGAGGCTCTGATATTAGGAAATGGCATTAAGGCCTGTGGTTCAAGTTTGTTTGCTTTGCAAAGCAAATCTGTCTGCCATAAATTCTGCACCTCAGCTTTCCTAAATCATACCTTGATTAATCGACTTGAGAGGATGGTTGGCTTTTTACTTACACAATAGTAAACTGAATAAATTAATGAATTCTAAAGTGATTATATTGTTAGCATCATGTTAGCATGAGCCAAAAACAGACCCTCTGTTTTTTTGCTCTCAGTATTTTTTGTATGCACTAACAGCGCATCAAATAAAATAGAAATGCATAAAATTATCAAATTGAGTCCAGCCTAATTCAAATGC